CCCCCCTCATGATTTTCACCAAAGAATCTACCACCGAATGAACTGTGACTTTGTGTTAGGCTTACATCCATTAGATTTCGCTCCAGTAAGACTGATAAGAGATATGTAGTATGTGCGCATACCACCTTAAAACTAAAACAGCTTTTGGTATAGCTTTTTATACAGTCCGCCAATTTATTCCAAATTTGGACGCTGAGCTTGTATTAATTTGGCTTAAATAAATAGGTCAGGGGAAAGGGTTTGCATCCTACCATAATTAGGCAACGTGTTCATGTTCTCTTTTTAAACATATCCGTACGTCGTGTTTTACTACCGTATCCATACGACGTGGGGAACTCTGTGCCACCACTTTCCAAAGAGGAAATTTGCTCGCTAATCCGATCCGTATGCTTTGCATAGCAGTCTGTCAAAATTAGTTTTTGAGAAATACCGAAAGTTTCAAAGAAATCTTTGTACTTGAAGTATTCTAAAATGTGAAGAATACAACCCAGGGGTACAAAATGATCCCAAGGCGTACGGATAGAGCTAAACGGTAGGCAGTTGTGTATGAAAACAATTGCTGCAAACATCTTGTGATCGGAACAGACCCAGACTGACGACATAAGTGGCTCTTCACGGGGCGAGAAGACAGTCGATGAACGGCGCTTATAAAACGCCCATCGCACGGCACGGAAGCTCACGCACAACATAGAGGGAAAACCTTCAGCACACGCGCAATAATTCAAACCTTTGCATCTTTTCCTCACTACTTCGAACGTGGTCAACATGTAATAAGTTTGGCGCTGATTCTGTGCAAACGTTTCAGCATTAATTTGTGCCTTTCTTCATTGCAGCAACTGATGATTCAGGAGATGAGTAGCATTGTCTCATTGATTGCGTTGAGCGTGCAGAGATATTGATAGATTGATGTGATCAGCAGCATCAGTCAGTCTTAGTTTAGTGCATTTGATGTGCTTCTGAATTAAACGGACAAACAAACAAACAAACAAACAAACAAGCAAAAACAAACAACTTTTCTGAAACTCTGTCCGGAGCATTGGACGAAAGAGAGAAGCAACAACAAGACTGTAAACAGCATACCAACAAAAAGGACTGAAAAAACTAACCTATTTCTTTTTACTCACAGAATTCGCAAAAAATCTGAACTAATCATGACTCTGCAAGAAAAACTAGACCTGATCGACGAAGAAATTCGCAAACTCCATCTATTTTGCACCAAATCTGGCTACAGCTCCCGCCAAATCGAGCGCTTCGCCCACCCGTTCTTCGCCCGAGATGTGCACGACATGGCCCCGAGCATCTGGCCCAGTGGAAAGGCCTGGAAGCGACGTATTGTGTCGCTCTCCACGGTGGTCATAGCGGCCGCTTTGCTCTTCCGGTTTGACCCCGCCTACCAGCTGGTCTGTGCTGTCAGCAAGAAGGGAGCCATTGAGGTAAGAATTTTTTTGTCATTATTATTATTATTGCTATTATTGTATTTTTTTTAAACGACTGTCATCATTATTATATTATAACCAAACTTGTTCTTGTTCTTGTTCTTGTTTTTGTTCTTGTTGCTGTTGTTCTCCTCCTCCTCCTCCTCTTCCTCCTCCTCCTTCTCCTCC